AGGGGGCGGGGGCGGTGCGCGGCGGCAGCGGAGCGTAGGGGAGGGGACCTGAGAGAAGCGAGAGGAGGGGACGAACCGAGGGGAGGGGAGACCCGCCGCCGCCCTCCCTCGCTCGCTGACTCGCTCCCTCCCGGGCTGCGGCTGCTGCAACGGGGCGGCGGTGGCAGCAGCAGCGGGAGCAGTCTAGAGGCCGGCGTCGAGGTGAGACGGGGCTGGACCGAGGCTGCGGGTAGGAGTGCGCGGACAGACGGCGGACGCCGGGAGGGCTGCACCGGAATGCGGGCGCCGGGCGGACTGGCTGGTGGTGCTGGGCGCGCCACGCCAGTGGGAGGAGGAGGCGCCGGTCCCCCGGGGGCGAGGGAATCCCTGAGAGAGGGGCTGACCAGGGGCTCAGAGGAGAAGCCCAGGTCCCCCAGGGAGGGGCGGGGGCGTCTGCGCCCCAGTCGCGCAGTGAGGAAACTGCACCGGCCGGGCGCCCGGGGAGGGAGGATGCGGAGGGAGTGGAATGTGAGTATCGGTCCTCTGCCCAGTGTGCCTGTCTGCCTGTCGGAGCGTGCGAGCGTCTGCACAGCTTGTTGATTTCGGGGTGCTGGGGCATCTGCTAGGATCTCAGAGTCTGGATCTTGTCGGGCGGACCCAGGAAGAGACCATGGGAGGGTCCTGTTTACAAAAGGGTTAATCTTCCCAGGGCTCTCCAAGCAGAAGACTTTGAGCAGAGCACTCCTCCTCCCCAAGGATGTCCCACCCCAAGGCAAAGGAAACCCCAACTTTTCTTCCTCTCCCCAGAGGCAGCCCAAGGCTGGCCCTAAGACAGGAGCAGAGCCCTCTGGAGCTGCAGTGCCGAGAGCCACCTCTTTCCTCCTCACACCAAACCTGTCTCCTCCTCTTTCAGGATTGCTGCTGTCTCTGCTGCTCCAGCCTCCCCATCGAGGTCCTCTCCCCTCTCCCCTCCCAAGATGGCAGCCAGCAGCTCTGAGGGCTCAGAGATGAAGGAGATAGAAGAGGGTCCCCAAACCCAAGGAGAAGGGCCTGGCCATTCTGAAGCCAAAACTGGCCCTCTCCAGGTCCCAGCTGGGGTCCCAGATGAGCCAGAGGCCCCGCAGCCAGGCCCAGACATCACTGGGGCCCCTGTGGACTCAGAAGCTAAACCTGGGCCGGCTCCAGAAACCACAGAGACCCCAACTGGGTCCCCAGAAACAGTCCAGGCCAAGGACCTCAGCTCAAGCCCAGGAGGGGAACCAAATGCCAACCCCAGCCCCGAAGAAGCATGCCAAGAGCCAGCACCCAAACCAGAAGGGAATAAAGAGGTCACTGAAGACAAGGGGTCCGATCTAGGGTCTGCAGCCCCACTTGAGCCAGCCTCAGAGCCTGCTCCCCAGTTGGACCCCCAGTCAGACCCTCAGCCAGACTGCCAGCCAGGTTCCCAGCCCACCCCCAAGTCAGCTCTTCACCCAGAGCCCCCTACCCAGGAGGACCCCACCCCTGAGGTCCTGACTGAGAATGTGGGGGAAAAGCAAGAGAATGGGGCAGTGGTTCCCCTGCAGCCTGGTGGCGGGGAAGAAGGCCCAGCCCCGCAGCCTCACTCGCCAGCCTCAACAAAAACCCACCCAGCCAATGGGGTTCCTCCCCGAGTGCTGCAGCAGCTGGTCGAGGAGGACCGACTAGGAAGGGCTCACAGTGGGCATCCAGGATCTCCCCAAGGTAGCCTGAGCCGCCACCCCAGCTCCCAGCTGGCAGGGTCTGGGGTGGAGGGGGGTGAAGGCACCCAGAAGCCTCGGGACTACATCATCCTCGCCATCCTGTCCTGCTTCTGCCCCATGTGGCCTGTCAACATCGTGGCCTTCGCTTATGCTGTCATGGTGAGCCCCACGGGACCCTGGCCCAGGCCTGCTGTGGCTCCCAGCTTCCTGCCAGCACTGGGACAGAATCCCAGGAGAAGCCTTGCCTTCCCTCTCCTCTCTGCATGGATCTCACCCCCCAAGTATGGGGCCTTTTCTGGCCTCTCCCTGGGACATTCCCTTCTGAGCCACCACTGCCCTACCCTTTCAGGTGGGAGGGAGGTCAAGACATGTTTCACACAGCCTTGCTGACCTGTGCCCTCTTCCCCCTGCCTCTCCAACCCTCTTTCCCCCTCTAACCACTGTCCACGGGGCCTGCTTGTCTCCTCTGGACAACTCTTTCACCTGATTCCTGCTGGGCTGCCTTCTCCTGACCTGGGCCCATGGTGCCCCACCCCTCACCCTAACCCCAGTCCCGGAACAGCCTGCAGCAGGGGGACGTGGATGGGGCCCAGCGTCTGGGCCGCGTGGCCAAGCTCTTAAGCATCGTGGCGCTGGTAGGGGGGGTCCTCATCATCATCGCCTCCTGCGTCATCAACTTAGGCGGTGAGTGGGGGTCTGGGACAGGCCGGGAGGAATGGAAGGGTTGGCAAGGGCAGTTTTACTAACCCCTGCCCCTGCTCTCTCCTGTCTGTCCTCCCTACTTCTCCTTTGTCTCTCCTTGTCTCTCCCCCCACCGTCTCTCTCTGTCCCTCCCTCTCCTCTCCCACAGTGTATAAGTGAGGGGCTCTGCCCCGCATTCCAAGACTTTTCTTCCTGTTGGGAGCTGCCTTGGGCCCATCCTCCCCTGGGGGGAGCCCAATCGATGGCCCAGGCCCGCACCCATAGGGACCAAGGGAGCCTGAGCGGCCTTGTTTACAGCTTCTTTCCTGCTCCTGCATCCTGCCAGGCTCCTGTGCCAACCGTAGGCCTCTCTTCTCCCTGCACTGTTTCCAACCTCCCTGCACTTCTGCCTGCATCCCCTCCAGCCTCTTGGCCTCCCTATCCCTGCACTTCTGGAAACCTCCCTGCACTTCTGGAAATCTCCTTGACCTGAACGTCTCCCAAACTCTCTCTGCTCTCAGCCTCCCTGCATCTCTCCCAGCCTCCCTGCACTCCTCCCAACTTCCCCAATTCCCTGCACCTCAGCCCTGCTGTCCCCCTTTCAACTTTCAGTGTCTTGGCATCTTCCCCCATTCCTTTCTTCTTTCTCCCCTTTATCATCTCCCCTTGCCCCTCCACACCCTCTGCCCCCTTCCTCTTCCTGCCTCCTCTCCCCTCAGCATCCCTTCCTCCCCTCAGGATCCTCTCCTCCTCCCTCCTGCCACCGTTTTCTCTGCAAAAACTCCAGCACTTAGATCAGGTTGGGGGAGGGGAGCGGCGTCAGGGGGAGGGCTTCCCAGCCCGGGTTCCGACTATTTTCTGCTGGGACCACCCAGGTCCTGACGCCTCCAGGGCGCCTCTGGGTTGCAGAGCTGGCAAGCCAGGCCTTGTCTGGGGACTTGTGCAGGGTGTCGGGCACGATTGCTAGCTCTGTTCTGAGCACGCACCTGGGAGGAAGGGGCGCGGCTGTTGACCTTTCTGAGCCCAAGCTGACCTGCCCCACCTGGGCTTTTAAACCCGCTCAGCGAGTTTCTTAAATGAGGCGTCGGGGCTGGGGTCATTCCCGTGCTTTGAAACGAAAGAACCCCGAAATAGGACCAAAGCTCCCAGATGCAGGGAGCGAGTGAGGGGCGGGGAGCTCTATAATTATTTTCCAAGAGGACGAGGGAGATTTGTTGCACGCGACAGTCCGCTAGGGAGGCGGGGACCGATCTACGACGCTGTTCGGAGTTGGCGGGTTTTGTTTTCTTAAAAAAAAAAAAAAAAGGCGTGGGGAGGGGGAAAACACTAAAAGTCTTAAAAAAAAAAAAAAAGGACACATCAAACAGATTCTCCCTTTTTGTATGCCGGATGCTGCATGAGTCTGAAACACCAATAAACGGAGACTGCATGAGACTTGCCTCCAGCCTCAGTTGGTCCTTACGTCTGTCCGCCGCCGGGGCCCGCGGTACTGCCCCCTTTCGGGCTGAACCTACTGGGTGTATGCACATGCGCCGTCCCGGTGGCCATCTTTACTGTGGGCCGAAGCCAATTGTGCCCGAGCCTACCTGCGCATGTGCACTCCTCCCCTTGCTTTCCTTTTCCAAGTAGCTTGGGCTCGAGCGGAGCCTTCCGCGCCATCTCTGTGCGCCTGCGTACTGTGACCCTGCGCAGCGCGGGAGGCGGGTCTTAGCTCCAGGTGCGTACGGCGGCTGAGGCGGTGAAGTGTGGGGAGAGGGCGCTGGATCCAGGTGCGAAGAGGGGCGGTGTGAAGGCGAGAAGAGCGGCTCCGCCCCTCTCCGGCCCAGAAAGTGGTTTCCGCTGGTCCCTGGGAATCTCAGAGTACCGTATCTGGATCCGTGGGGCGGGGTCCTTGGAGGGGACTCAGCGCCCCCTCCTGGGAACCGGCGGTCTCGTCGCTGGGACCGCTGTTGGAGCCTGATTGGTTGGAGACAATCCCTGAACTCCTGGGGAGCCCAATCCCTTGGGGGAGTAGAGCGGGAGCCCCCCCACCCCCGGCTTAGTACTCCTACATCTCCTATCATCGCAGGGCCCCTCCCCTAGTAGCCTATGTCCCTTGTTCGTGGTCATGGAGACATTTCGGCCACCACGGCGGCGCCTCTCTCTGAAGAAGGGGAAGTGACCTCTGGCCTCCAAGCTCTGGCCGTGGAGGATACTGGAGGCTCCTCTGCTTCGGCCAATAAAGCCGAGGAAGAGGGGGAAGGAGGCCGGGAGGAGACCGAGCATGAGGGGTCCGGGGCCGAGGAGGTGCAGGGAGAAGCCCCTAGCGCTGAAGGGGAAGAGCATGCCAAAGGAGAATCCGAAGACTGGTGCGTGCCCTGCAGCGATGAGGAGATGGAGCTCCCCTCGGATGGGCAGGCCTGGATGCCTCCCCCCTCGGAAATCCAGCGGCTCTATGAACTTCTGGCTGCCCACGGTACCCTGGAGCTTCAGGCTGAGATCCTGCCCCGCCGGCCACCCACGCCTGAGGCCCAGAGTGAAGAGGAGAGATCCGATGAGGAGCCTGAGGCCAAAGAGGAGGAAGAGGAAAAGTGAGGGCGCACCCTTACACCTTGTTCCTGGGGCTTGCTCCCTTGGTGCCAGGAGGAAATTGGGAGGGGAGCTGGGACCCTGGAGCATGGAAAGTGGAGGGATGGAATGGGGAGGGGAGACCCGCAGGCCGGGGTATTTGGGAAGACCACCCTCACCCTTCACTTTCTGTCCACCTGTCCCAGACCGCACATGCCTACAGAATTTGATTTTGACGACGAGCCAATGACACCAAAGGACTCCCTGATCGACCGGAGACGCACCCCAGGTACAGACAAAGGGGGACAGGAAGGGGGAGGTGAAGGTGAAGGACCTCTACTCCCACTGACCTAAAAGGTGACTCCCTAAAAGAGGCCTATGCTTGGTGCTTTGGTTGCTACGCAACTTGTAGCTGTAGGAGAGAGCATTTCACCCAGTGGTGCCATCCTAACAGCTTGGATAGACACCCTGTCTTCCTTTACGAGACTTTCACAGATGATTCTATCATGTTTCCCATTCCTTTTATCTCTATCTCCCTAGAAGTTCAAGTCTTCCTGGCCATTCCTTATTATCTAGATCCTCATTCCTATACTACTGTGTACATCTCCTAATCTGACCTGATTTCACACCCCGTGTGCCTTCCTGGAATTTACCCTGGAGCCATTCTTGATTTCTCTTTTACCCCAACATTCAAGCTAGCAGCAAGTCCTGTTAGCTCCATCTCCACATTTCCAAGCTCCTCTGCTACTCTCACCTTCAACACCACACCCTCATCGAAGCCATCATTGCTCTCTTTCTTTCTTTCTTTTTTTTTTTTAGAGATGGCAGGCCTGGGCACAGGATGGGCGGGGAGGAGGTGCGGGGGACAGGGGAGGCAGAGGGAGAGAGAGGATCTTGAGCAGGCTCCACGCGCAGCGCAGAGCCCAACTCGAGGCTTAATCTCACGACCCCGAGATCACGACTGGAGCCGAAATCAAGAGTTGGAAGCCCAACTGACTGAGCCACCCAGGCACCCCAAGCCATCATCTCTTTTGCCTGGATATTTGTGGTGGCTCCTAACTGGTCTCCCTGCTTCCATTCTCAGCAACCAGAATGATCCTTTCAAAATACAAATCATGTCACTACTGTGTTTAAAATCCTCCAAAGGATTCCATTGTTGGGGAAAAGAGCATGTCAAGAGAGAATCCAAACACCACAACTTCCCCCTGACTGCCTGGGCCCCCAAGGTTTCCAAAGACATGTATTTCTGTTTAAACTAAGAGATCCAAACCCCTCATCATGGCCTCTAAGTCGTTCCTTTGACTACATCTTTCCATCTCCCCACCACCTCCCAGCTCTCTATACTCTTCTTTGAACAGACCTCCCTGTTCCTGCCCCAGGGCCTTTGCACTTGCTCTTCCCTTGCCTGGGTATCTTTACCCTGGTCTTCACATTACTGGCCCCTTCTCATAGTTCAGCCCTTCACTGCTTACCCCATCTGAGGCCCAACCCCAAACCTCAGGGCCTCCATGACAGAGGCCTGGAAATCTGTATGTTGAGTGAGCTCCCCAAGTAATTAGTAACATCTAGGCAAGTCTGGTGCACAGCGCCTCACCCCCATCCACATTTCTTACCTTCCTTTTCTCCAGGAAGCTCCGCCCGGAGCCAGAAACGGGAGGCCCGCCTCGACAAGGTTCTCTCCGACATGAAGCGACACAAGAAGCTGGAGGAGCAGATCCTTCGTACTGGCAGGGACCTCTTCAGCCTGGACTCAGAGGACCCCAGCCCCACCAGCCCCCCGCTCCGGTCCTCAGGGAGCACTCTCTTCCCCCGGCAGCGGAAATACTGAGCACTGCTGCTGCCGTTAGGGTGCAGAGCATATACCTTCTGGGCGCCCATTCCCGAGCCCAGGGCGCTGGGACACTGGGCAAGAGCAGAGAGACTCCCAAGCTCCCAACACTGACCCACGCCAGAAGGGAAACGTGTGTGTGCCTATGTATGCTTTCTGTTGAACATCTCTTTGGAGACCTGGGCTAAATTCTCTGAATCTAAAATAAAAAAATGCCAAGTTATTGTCTGTTAGAGGGTGGGCTGCAGCAGCCCAGACGGTTGCAGAGTGGCGGAATCGACGGGATCGATCGCAGACACCCGGATGGGGAAATTGAAATGAAAGCCACATGGGGCGGAGGCGAGCTCAGTCTGCACCTGCCCTCCCCCGTCCCAGGCCCTCTGACCCTTCCCAGGCTCATTCCCGCGCTGCCCGCCCGGCTCTGAGGCGGGAGCTTCCTGAGGGCTGAAGGAGCTGCAGTGCGTTCAGCTGCCGGAGAAGCCGCCCAGAGGAGAAACACCGAGAACCAGCTGCGAGGGCCCTTTAAATGGCCAAGCCCCACCCCTGAGCCTGCCCTGCCGGGAAGTGATCCCTAGGGCCTGGCCACGGAGTTTCCCCATTCGAGGGGGTCTCAGACGGCGGGCACTCTTCCAGGTACTTCGTACTGGTCCCAACGCCCCCAAACCCCTGGTGGGGCCTTGTGTCGCTCCAGGCTCTCCGAGCCCCGTCTGGCCTTCTAGCGCTGCTTGCTTCTGCTGGGGCAGATAAGACCTCTCGGGGCCTGAGGAGGAAGAAGGTGGGTGGAGGCTTACCCTTGGGAGGTTTTACTTTCCTTGTTGGATTTTTTTTTTTCCCCTGCGTTTTGAAGTAAAGGTAGGTCAACTTGTTACCTTGCCAACACTTCCCGACCCCACAAAATCTCAGGCCTCTCGACTTCAGGCTCCCACATCAGAAGTGAGGACAGAGGAAACTTGGGTCCATTCAAACTCCATCCTGGGTCCCTGCAGCCGGCCTCTGCTGCTTCCTCCCCCAGGGCCCCTGGCTCTGGCCTGTCCTCTTGAGCTTTTAGAGTGTGATTCCTGCCCACCCCCAGATCCTTCATCTCTGCCAAATGTTGAGGCTTTATTATTGCCTCACTTAAGGCTATGCTAACCGTGGCCCTTGCGGACCATGTGGGAAGTGGTTAGCATAGCAATCTTAAGGTAGGCTTGACTTCTAGAAGGCGTGGAGGCTGGTGAGCGAGGTTCTTTTTCTCTTTGGGAGGGTGAAAGGAAGAAATGCAAAACTCCTTTGGGCCCTGACAGCCTGTGATTGTGAAGATCTTAGGGCTGGCCCTCGGGAATGAAATCTGGAGGGGTGGGGGGATGGTGGTTGAGGCTGATGTCCCTGTGCCCGGAGTGGACACTGGGTTGTGAGGAGAAAGCCGGCTGTTACACGGAGTGCCAGCCAGAGTGCTCCCTGGGAGCTCCTGCCTGTTTCCGCCCTTGGCACAGCTTTCCGGGTGGGGCCGGAGCTGATAGAGTGGATGGCCCAGGGACCGCCTGAGGGCTCCAAGGTAACTCAGGCCTCCTCGTGGGATGGAGGCTGCCCCCCCCAACCCCTCCCCTTGCAGAAAGTGCTCACCTGTGAAATGCCTATCTCCTAGAGAATACTCAGCCCCACCCAGGTCAGAAGTCCTTGTTCTGTGTTTAGAATCTTACCTTTCTGCCTGAGAAGCCAGGCTACTTCCTGGTTTGGGAGCTCTGCAGACCGGGTAATGGGCGGATTTCTGACCCTGTCCTTTGATCGTTGTGTGATCCTGAGTGAAGTTCCTTAACTTCTAGGATTAGATGAATCAATTAAGGGCACTTAACACAACACCTGGCACAGTTTATGTCCTTAATAAGTGGGAGCTGTTATTTGGGGGCTCTTGCCAAAGATACTGGCGCAGCGGGTCTGGGCGAGGCCTTGGAATCACTATGCGCAGGAGCAACACTCTCAGCTGGGTCCTATGATGGAGCGAGTTTAGAAAACGTTGATCTCGATCAGGGGTTCTGAAGCCTGGTTCCTGGGTCACTTCTCAACAAGGCAATCTTCGCCTTCAATGATGAGCATTAATTGGCAGCATCCAGGAGGTAGGATGAAGATAGGACAAGCAGCATTCCAAGCTGCCAGAACTGTTCTGTCCCCAGTGAAGCCACCAAGCTGCTCCTCCTCCCACAAGGTAGTTGGACTGGAGCTCAGCGAAGGAAGGAGCTGCTTCCTCTTTCATAGGAAGAAAAGTTCCTAAAGCTTTGCTCTTTTTTTTTTTTAAAGATTTATTTATTTGAGAGAGCGAGAATGAGAGCGAGTACATGAGAGGGGGGAGGGTCAGAGGGAGAAGCAGGCTCCTCGCTGAGCAGGGAGCCTGATGCGGGACTCGATCCCGGGACTCCGGGATCATGACCTGAGCCGAAGGCAGTCGCTTAACCAACTGAGCCACCCAGGCGCCCTAAAGCTTTGCTCTTAAACGTGGTTGCTGAGACAAAGTCTCAAAAATGTCCATTCTAGTCCCCTAAAGCTGGAAATAATTTCCCTAAACTAAGCCAGTGTATAAACGGCTTCTGTGCAGTCCCTGAGTAATGGGACTCTTGCATTCTCCAAACAAAGTGTAGAATGTTTACAATCAGGGAAACTGCAAAGATGAGCCCCTGTTTATGCTGAGCGTCACGTACATTGTCCTAAACCTGAGCTTGATAGAGGTGATGGTGGCAGGCTGAGTCACAGGCCACCCCTGCACCTTCCAGCCTGCTCGGGGCAGGGGGCTTGTGTTGGTGAGGGGGCAGGAGGAGAATAACCAAATGCCCTGCCCCTGATGAGCAGTCTCATCTGAGCTCCTCTTTATTCTCCCTCCTCCCAGCCACGCTTTGAGCTCCCCTGCACTAGAGACATCCTGTGGTGGCTAATCTCTTCAAGCCCAGGAAATAGTCACTCTTCTTTCCACTTCTCAGTCTAGGAGACTCCGGCTCAGAGCTAGCAAGTGGCCCAAGATCATGACAGAGCTCATCCTTGCTGGGTATTAGTCAGTGGGAGAGCTTTTAAATATAGCAATGCTCCGGGCGCCTGGGTGGCTCAGTCTGTCGAGCATCCCACTTTTTTAAAAAGATAGTTTATTTTAGAGCGAGAGAGCCTGTGGGCATGGCGGGGGAGGGAAAGGAGTAGGGGCAGAGTCTGGGGAGAGAGAACCCCAAGCAGACTCTGCACTGAGCACTGAGCCCGACGCATTGCCCCATCTCATGACCCTGAGATCGTGACCGGAGCTGAAATCAAGAGTCGGCCCGACGGAGCCACCCAGGTGCCCCTAGCATCCAACTCATGATCTCAGCTCAGGTCTTGATCTTAGGGTCATGAGTTCAAGCCCTGTGTTGGGCCCCATGCTGGGCATAGGGCCTACTGGCGGGGGTGGGGGGCAGGTGGGGAGGCAATGCTTCACCCCACCCCACATCCCTGATGTCAGAATCCCCAGAGATCAGTGGTTTTCAAAGACCTCCAGGTGATTCTCAAGTACAGCCAGGACTGAGAGTGGATGCTTGAGGCCAGAGCTGCTAGTACTCTAATGTGCGCCCGAATCGCTAGGGCTCTAGTTAAAATGCTGGCCAATTCAAAAGTCCTTGAGTGAGGCCCAAGAAGCCTCCTCACTAACAAGCTTCAGATGAGGCCGACAGTACTCTCCTCAGACCAGCACACAGTAAGAAATAAGAAAGCTGGTCCCTGGGGCACCTGCTTTTGGAGTCACTGTTCCAGGCGCTCGCATGAGGTTGACCCTGAAGATAATCTGACCGGTAGTGACCAAAGAAACTCATGAAGTTTTGCTGTGGTGTTAGGAACCGCCTCTTAACTCGAGGATGGACCCTACTTCTGCCTATAGCTTGTTTCGTTCTCTGCCCTGCCACCTATTACTTTCCTCTTTTCTTCATGGGTGTGGTGCAATGTCCAAGACTTTGGGCAAGAGTTGACTGGCTCTTCTTGCAGGAGTCTCATGACCCTTGAGGGAAGTGTGCTCAGGCAAAGCTGGGCATGTGCCAGGAAAGCAGACAAGGGGGCAGATCCTGGAAGCAGGCACTGAAGGGAGGCCTGGGTGGATTTGGAGTATGGGGACCAAACCCAGGTGCTGGGCAGGAACTTCCAAAGGTCAACACAATCCTTGACCGTTGTTTTTGGAGGGTCCTGATATATTGGGAAGAAAATGTTCTGACTGTACACGTCATCTGGTAAACCACAAAAGTCTAAATCTGGGACTTGTCATAAACATGTTACCTGAGTCGGGTGGTTTCCCTGGTTCCCAGGAGAGGCCTCATCTCAAGTCTCCCTTCTGCAGGTGACAAAAGGAAAAGAGCAAAGTCTGTTCTTGGGTGAAGAGCAGGTGGTCTAGGTGGAAGGCACAGCCGTAGGGCATGGTGGGTTAAGACAGGGTCCTGGTACTGAAACAAGGCAGAAGCCCAGGCAGATCAGCTGGAAGGCAGACTCTCAGCTGACTCGCTGAGCTGGGCGAGGCTCTCAGCCCCACTGACTGGACCCAGCTGGGGTGACAGATGGTGGAGAGGCCTCAGCCGTAGGGAGTGGGGCATTGTCCAAAAAGGAGTCATTGGACGCCGTTCCTCAGGCCTGTTTCCCAGCCCTGCATGGCCTTCTAGAGTTCAGATCTTCCCTGGGGGGCCTCATGGAGCCCTGTCCACCCCTCCATTTATAGCCCTAGCCCTTCCTCTCCCCCATCTGGCTTCCTGGCCAGGCTTCCACCCTGCAGAGAACTTGGCAAAGGAGTAGCTTGAAAAGGCTTCACTTGGCTGTCAGATGCCCCTTCTTTGCTATTCTTTTAGCCCCACAGCTGGGGTGACAGGAGACCTGCCACCTTTCTGACCAGTCAGCAAGGGGGGCGGTGGTTAAGGACAGGTGGCATAGGGAGCCTCTGGTGCTAGGCCACATCCCCCTGATTAAGGGAGCTGAGCTTCAGGCTCTTCCTGCCTCAGCAGTAAGCCACATAGTGCTTCCGGAGAGCCGGGCTTTGTTCCAGCTACTTTATGATGACCTCAGTCCTCATAACTTGGGTAGATGCCCTCTCCGTTCTCAGTTTATAGGCCTGGGAAACGGGTATAGGGAGAGCAACGGACTTGTCTGAGGTTACCCATCCAGTAAAGGATCCCGGGGGCTCTTCAGGGCCTTCATCAGGGAGCAACTTTGGAAGCACGGCTGGGAGGGCCTGGGCGGTAGACGGGAAGGAACAGGAAG